GACTGACTATGTCGACTCTGCAATAATCTCGTTACTCCCAGGCCAACCAGCTTATGATACTCCAGCAATAAGAAAACTATCAGCAACGTAACAACACCGAGCATGGATCTCCTGCATGTTGACGGCTCACCAGCCGTATATTCAACTATGTATGAGGAACACTTACGGCGTGCGCCAGGAAACGAGTGCGTGCTTAGACACGACCTAATTTTCACGGAATATGACGAAAGCACACTGTCAGCCGACCTCTCCCCCGGAGACTACACCCAGTACAAAGCCAAACAACAAGCCAAGAAAAGAAAAAAAGACTTAGCATGAGGATGCAGGCCTAAGACTCACTGAGGGCAGTTGCCCTCACCCCCCTCTTTAGGGGGATGGGGACCTAATTTTGCTCGTTTTGAGGTGGTGGAATCCCTGCAAGCTTCAGAGCAGACCGACGTGGAAGACAGAAGACGGAAGACTCCAGCTCAAAAAGAAGAAAGAAGACGCCTGGATCAACAGTATAATCATTCCAATTCCCAAGCCAGATCAAGAGAATGCTTTCCGCCCAATTTCCCTTACTAGCTGCATTTGCAAAACATTCGAGAGAATGGTCCTAAACCGTCTCCTCCATAGAATAAGAACCATGCTATCCCCCCAGATATATGGCTTCATGCATGGAAGGAGTGTGCATCATTGCATCACCACCTTTCTTACCCTGCACACTGAAGTGTCATATACCACCTTCCTAGATCTTAAGTCTGCCTTTGATATTGCAAATAGACATGTTATCTTGAGTGAGCTTGCAAGAATGAATATTGGTGGTCGGCTTCTTTGTTGGATCAGGGGTTACTTATCCAACAGGAAGTCATCTGTATTTTTCCAGGGCATAGGAGTGTAACAAGAGACATTGAACTAGGTACCTCGCAGGGTGGTGTCCTCAGTCCTACCTTATTTAATATCTTAATAAACACGCTGTTAAACTCTATACCGAGCAAACCCAACGTCCACATCATTAGCTATGCTGATGATATAATGATACACACCACTGGGTATGCTAACACGCAGAACACTCTTAACTCTGTATTAGACTCATGTCAGGACCTAGGTTTAATTATCTCAGCAGAGAAAACAAAGATACTAAATCGGCGCCCACCCAGGCAGGGAGGAGCTGTTCGCAAGATGCAACTGTCTGATGGCTCCCAGCTTGACTATGTAAACAGATTCAAATACCTTGGCCTTGAGGAGCCACTGTATGGTCCTGTTGTATTCAGACTCTGTCGTCAGTTTAAAGAGAGGCTCCGAGCTCTCAAGGCTGTTGCAGGTTATCACTCAAGCTATGGTGCCAATGTCAGAATTGTCAAAATGATGTACTTTGCATACATCAGATCTTTAGTGGATTATGCTGCACCTCTGCTTGTTTTGATGCCTGAAAGAAAGCTTGGAGGGCTTGAAAAATTGCAGAACGAAGCCTTGAGGATAATCCTTGGGTACCCTCGTACCACAAAGATACTTAATATGAGAAAGGCACTTAATATTCTGAGCGTTGTTGATCGTGTTACTGATATTAACTGTCAAATTGGTATAACAATGCTTAGGCTAACTCATCCTAATCCTTGCACAGAAGCCCTCCAGAATTTCTTTATTGAAGACCAGCACTGTTCCAAATGGATAACAAAAACTGGAACTCGACTCAGAATGCATGGGGTTCATGATTTGTACCAAGAGAAACAACAACGGCACTTTCCTGCACCGTGGGAGGTTACACCCTTTCCAATTTTAATCCCTCCCTTTCCACCCAAGAAGCAAATTAGAGATCAGCCCAAGCTTCGTCTTGAGGCAAAGCTCAACGCCTTAAGCCATATTGATGCTCTGTCCACAGAGCATTCTCTCTCTCAAATTATATACACTGATGGTTTCCTACACCGCACCACGGGTGCAGCTGGAAGTGCAGTTGTTCTGACAATGGGCGATGGCCTATACTTTGAGTGGGAAGTCCGTATAAACAACTGGGCCTCTACCCTTCAGACTGAACTATTTGCCTTGATCCTTGCACTGAAATGTGTACAAGTCTCAAAACTTGATACATTAATTGTAAGTGACTCATCATCCTTAAATGCTCTCAACTCTTTAAGACATAACTGTAACATGCTCGTTTCCAAAGCTAGACACAAATACAACAAAATTATTAAGGATGGTAACAGAGTCCATTTCATGTGGTCTCCATCTCATGTTGGGCTCCGAATGCATGATAGAGCTGATAAGTTAGCCAAAGAATCTGCCTTTAAAGGAGCCGTCGAGTGTAACCATGGATTGTCAATGAGCAATCTGAGAGCAGCAGTACACCGAGAACTTCAACAAGATCTTGTAGATCTAAGTAAAATCTAAGTAAAATTGACAAAGTAAAATTGGCAAAGTAAAATTGACACCAGTAATTCCATCTATCATCATACTATCATGCAAGAGGAGCACACATCTATGGATCATCCAATAAAATCAGCAGACTTCTAGATGTTACTACTGCTCGGCTTAGACTCGGTTACAAGTATCTCTGGGAATTCTCATTATCTGCTGATGTAGACCTGACCAAATGTAAACTGTGTCAACAAAATTATTCGCACACCCTCCGTCACTATGTGATGGAGTGCGAAAAGATACGTGAATTTGGAGACAATTCTATAACCAATGTTCCAGCGATGTGTCAATATTTCATTCAAAATGATCTGCTACCAGAAATTTTAGCCAAATATCCCCAGTTTGCTAACTGTAGGTAGTAACTAAGTGATTGTAACCTATCCACCGCTGCCCACTGGATGGGGGGCGGTGTGCAGGACAAACAAATTTTGACACTAGCTCTCCACATATGTCAGTTGCTTAATTTAGAACCTGTACTTGAGGTCGATCTCGAACCCATTGTTGACGTGATGACTTATATTGAATTGTAACTAGCTCATCAAGATTGTAACTTGCTTAGCTAAATAATTGTGGGGTTCAGTCCCTGAGCCCATTATGTGCCTCTGTAACCCTTTCCACTACCGCCCACAAGATGGGTATGGGGTGCATAATAAATGAACTAAACTAACTAAACTAACATCAAAAGAAAAGAAGACCTCACATCGCCGTCCCTCCCTCAGGACCCTGCCCACTAGCCTAAGCCAGCCAGGTGTTCAGGAAGCCTCATTTACGCCGTGCAGCTGGGTTTAGCCCTGGCTCTGTCTCCAACTCCGACGTTTCCTCTCACCCAAGCTATTCTTCACCTGTACCCACTTTAAAGCTCACCCTAATGGGTACCTTGTCCTATATTTAGTTCCTTCGTAGGTGAGGCTCGTTAGAGCAGCGGCCGTCCCACGAGACGTTCATCAATTTTAACACTGTAGTAAAAATATGTTTGTTCCCATACATAATATATTATACAATAAAATTCAATGTATATTAGGCGTCCATTATGTGGTTAGGTTATTTTTGGCGATTATTTGTGTTAGTAGTACAGTAGTGAAACATTTACAGACTTGCTATTCGAGAAGCAGATGTCAGTGAAGCACTGTTCGAGAATACATACATACATCGCCAAGCCCCCCCCCCCCGCCCTCATCAGTAAAAGAACAATGATTGTTAATCCAGCCGCCGTACCTCTTGTTTATCAATGAGACAGGCTTACACACAACGCGTCCTCTTGTCTGTTCATTTCATCCAGTGGTTGACCCCCAAAGATGCATTCATATATTTAAAGATGCTGTTCATTCAAAATTGGAATTCTCAAATATAAATTAATATTGTTATATGTAAGGATGCGGTGCATATTCGGTCATTGGTTAAGTTAGGCGTTTAGTTTCTCTTGGTGATTATTTGTATCTGTAGTACATGGGTGAAGCTTTCACAATATTGTGGTTCAAACAAAAGTCGTCAGCGAAGCACTGTTCAAGAAATGTTTGAACGTCATCAGTTGTGACTTGTGTAAACAGTTTTTCCATTCATAAACGGGGGGTCTGACGGGTGCATGGAATGGACTTTAGCCTTTGTTTATGAGGACGAGTTGTTACACAGCTCAACTGATCACGTTCGAACATTTATCGAACAGTGCTGTGCTGATGACCCCTGCTCGAATCCCAAAGTCATAACTATCACTCAACGTAGTTCTAATACATAGAATGGCCAACAGAACTTTAACACCTAACCTAATCTATGGCTAACTTTACATTGAAATTATATGAACTCTTGAGAAACCAGTTTTTAATGCATAATACGTTAATACCGATGAATGCACCCGGCCTAAAACTTGCTTCCTTCGGAGCCTTCTTTGTTAGCTTGGTAGAGAATGAATATCCTCCAGTGACATTAGTAACGGCTCCTTTCCCAGCATAATCCATATGCCACTTGAGTAGTCTGGTGTCCCTGCTCTTAAACCTTTATCTGTGGCCATAGGAGCTCCGCCGTTATATAATATTTACTTTCCCCAGTAAGGGGGGAGACTGCACTAAAAACAAATCGGGAACATCACGTTACCCATCACGAAGTGCCATAGGCACAATCAGAGAACACTGTATAAACATCAGAGGTCCGCGGTTGTTCAACGTCCTCCCAGCAAGCATAAGAAATATTGCCGGAACAACCGTGGACATTTTCAAGAGGAAACTAGATTTATTCCTCCAAGGAGTGCCGGACCAACCGGGCTGTGGTGGGTATGTGGGCCTGCGGGCCGCTCCAAGCAACAGCCTGGTGGACCAAACTCTCACAAGTCGAGCCTGGCCTCGGGCCGGGCTTGGGGAGTAGAAGAACTCCCAGAACCCCATCAACCAGGTATCAACCAGGTAACCCCGTTCCGGAGACCCAGAAACGTTCACATCTGACACTTCACAGGGCCTGCCGCATGACCACAATTACTATGGTATTTGTCGATTTGCAGAAATGCTGCAGCGCTCATGGACTACCAATACCTTGGCCAAGATGTGCATGATGGCCACGTAGCTGCAAGTGAACAGCCTCCAGAAACTGTGACCGACAGTATATTCAGCGGAGGGGAAGAGGATTGAAATGTAACCAAAATTGTTAGCGCAACATTAACCGTATGATACACCACAATTAAATGTTCATATTATGGGCCTGGTTTTTTGTTTACCACTCTGAAGTGGTTAACACATGGAGCACTTTAGACTATACCTATTAGAAGATCACCGCTTCAAGGAATAGTGTGTACCTATTAAAATTATTGGACTTGTTCCCTTCACTTATTGTACTTGGGTGCGAATATGTATCTACTACATAATGACCAACTGCAATTCGAGAGAAGTTTTTGCAAGTAACTTTATTCTCTCCATACCTGCAGTGCCGTTGTACGAGACAAATTTCTTGTATATGGTTAACCATAGCTGCAGTGCCGTTGTACTGATGCACCCTCGTACATATCTGAAATTACACATTAAATATATAAAAATACTAAATTGAAAATCTTCATATAAAGCTTTAAAAATATCCCGCAAGACAATCGATCAGCTCAGACTTTGGTTGATCCATAAAGCTGACTTACCACAGAATGGCAAAACCCAACCTCAGACATGACTCGTCCACAGCCCGTTCTCATCACAACGGCCAAGTGGTCGTTAACCCGGTAGCCAAACATGAACGTGACGAACGCTTCACATTTAACGAGTCCTCGGTCTATACTCGTTCGTGCACTGACCCACAACAGTTCACACATTTTAACACTATTTAAACTAGTTTTTGTTATGTTACCTATTTATTAGGCGAGGGAGACAGGTTGGAATACACTCACGTACTGTAATTTCCTTCAACAACTATCATAGAACTATACACTATTTAAACATACTTTAATTGTTAGTTATATTCGACAAAATATAGTACTTGGTTACACAGGACGTTAATGTTAATTAAGGCGTCTCTGGGGTTGGCGGCAGCGTGGACGACACTGACTCAGTATGGCTAGTTTCATTCACATAGGATGGCTCTTATGCGACTCTTGTTAGGTTAAAAGTCTTTGGTCCATATTTCAAGGATTGAAATCTGATAGTTCACAACAAACACCTTATAACTGCCAGAATTTAACTAATAATTTTGTAAACTATTTTCAGCTGCTTATGGTCGAACGTTAAATTTCACAATGTTGACACTCTAGCCGCTGTTGTGGAACAGTTAATCACATAGGAATTGTTTTAGAATTTAATTTTGTTGTAATTAGCTTCATCAAAAGTTTTAGGCTAGGTAAAAGTCTCTACTAATAGACAAAGGTATATTACACAATATTATATCAAATGAGTAAACCAGTCAATTTATTTTTTAAATAAAGCTTTAACATGTTGTAATTATGCTTAGACAATCGGCAAATATAGACTATTGTACCAACAGAATACAATGTGATAAAATAACTATTCATCTAGAGTAACTTGCCTGTAAGCCTGGCGCAGGTAACCTCATGCACAGGACTGTCCAGGTGACTTAATTTAGTACAACCAATGAGGCGGGCGCTGAGCAGCACCTCTCCCCACGCCGGCCCGCGCCACACTGCCCGCCGCGCCTCTTGACTAGCTTGGCCTGATGGGTCAACTACCTGTGACGTCATTCACCTCACCTGACATGAGGCCGCCTCATATTCAAATAATTCACAAGTAAAATCACTTCAACAATATTAATAGAGTTTATTTCTATTAATGTGAAGTATGAGCAAGTGTGAGTATGTATTAAAAGCACATACTTCACTACAGGACATTAAACCTACTACCACACCCACCTAGTAGCTTGGAAGCGCCATAACGCCTTCTGTTGAGCTCAACCCCCGCAAGCACAACTAGGTGAATACAAGAGGCTTTACCGACAGTGACCATTACTTGTAGCTCCCTCATGCTCACCTGTAGCTCCCTCGGACACACCTGCAATAGAAAGACCCTTTTAAGTATGTTTCGAGCAAATTAACTAGTGCATAAGACATTAAAATATCTGTTCACATCTATACAAGTACAAATATGTAAAGGATATTTGTAGATATTCTGGAAATAGAAAAGGAATAGAATGCATTCACAATCATTCCCCCAAAAATGTCGTAATATACTAAGGAAAGGAAAATGTAGCTTTGAATCAACTTGTAGATTTCTCCATCCTGACATGTACGAATCATCACTCGAGGAAAAAAACAATGCTACGCCCTCAGCTGTCCATACTTTCATGCTGAAGGCACAGAACGCTAAACAGTGGCAAGCAATAAAATGGCTTTGGAGAAAAGCCAACAATTTATTTTATACCCACACGAAAGAGGTTATAAAAGGTAGGACAGTGTGTATGGAACTGGTTGACCCACTTGCATACCAGAATCACGCATGCAATTACACCCCACAACAGAGCTACAGTTACAACAGGCAACAACCCTGCAACAATCAGTACTGGTCAAAATAAAACCGACTTTCCCACACACAATGGACCTGCCTGAAAATTCTTCGTCAAATTACCCCCAAATAGAGTAACATCGTTCATCTTTACCGACATACAAGATCTGAAAACAAATGCAAAAAAGTAAGTACCGTTCCTAAATTGCCTCGCCTCCCCCCCCCCCCCTCACCGAGTCAAATGCAGTATTTGGACCTTTCACAGAAACCCATGCAGGGGAACTCTTTGACAGTGAGATCTGGATACCAGAATATAATCTATATAGATATGATAGGGTAAATAGGCCACATGGAGGAGTAGGTTTGTATACAAGAGAGGACATTGTATGTGCTGAGCTGCTTAACTCTGCAAATGAGGTGGTAGTTAACTCTAATGGTAGTAAAAAAAAAATTGGTTATAATTCTAATATACAAACCTCCAGACGCAACGGCGGAGGAATTCACAAATCAGATAAAAGCGAGAATAGTCTCGACAAAATGGTAAACCCAATAAATGACATCTTCCAAGGTGACTTCAACCTGCCCAGTCTAAGTTGGAAACTTGCGATCAAGAATACTATACCACGAAATCTATCTGAACAGAACCAACCATAGAGTAGAGAACTACTTAGATTCTGTGACAAATTTTCACTCATCCAGCAGGTAAGAGTCAACTAGTTACGACAATATTTTAGATTTGAACATCACAAACAAAGGAGATAATCAAGGACATTACAATCTCATATACCACATACTTAGATCACAAGCTCATTGAAGTGCAAACTAACATCAATACCTGTAATAGGCCTAAAACAATGATCATGTATGACGGGTTATTCAATAAATTCAGTTTTAATAAAAGGATAGACTGGGAAAAGATATACAGCGAACATAAAAAAAATTCCATTGAATGTTTTAAGTAATAATAATCCCACACAAGACATAGAACAACTGACTTCCAAAGAATATAAAGTGTCTAAAACTTGGTCCTTTGTTGAAAGCCAGAAAGAGGACCAACGTAGGAAGAAAAATCAGTTGATTATTTTAAAAAAATATATAAATAAAAAAAAAAAAACTAAGGAGACACGACTATCTCAACAAAAAAAATAAAATAAACGGAGTTCTAAAAAATCTAGCAAAGATTAAAGCAATCATATCAAATTGAAGAAATGCTATTAGAACACAAAAATGGAATTCAAGAGAAGGAAAACAATATTCCTTCACATATGCGAAAAAAAAGCAAAAACCACTGTCAGTATTGGACCTATTCTTACAAGTGAAAGGTCGAACAGACGGTGACAAAGAAATTACTGAAATCCTAACAAAAACAGGAGGGGGCATGTTTAGCACCCCAATAAATATTCAAGAAGCTGTCTGGATCATCCATGAGAGCGGACGATCCAGAAAGCTTCTTTATGCGTGATATCCAAACTCCTGAAAATATAACAGATATAAATACGGATTCTGAAGGAGAAATTAACAACATGCCCATGCACTCAATATTTATAAAGAAATGCTAAGTGCCAGTAGCATAGTGTAGAGAAAGAGCTTGCACACAGGGGAGATACAAGATTCGCTTAAATCAATAGATTTCATAAATTTTGCTCCTCTTTACAAGGGAGGAAGCAAAGCAATGGTTGAGAATTATAGACCAGTCGCACTTAGGTCCCACATAAAATTCTTTGAGAGCGTGATCAGGAGGCAGGTCTCTAGTTTTATGGAGACCTGTGACCACCTCAACCCCGGTCAACATGGATTTAGATTGGGATGATCATGCCTCTTGCAGCTACTTTACCACTATGACAATCTCTGAGGCATTAGAAGAAAAACAGAATGCAGATTTGGTATACGCAGACTTCACAAAGGCATCTGATACATGTGACCATATAGTGTGATAGCACACAAAATAAGGTCAATGGAAATATCATATAAAGTAGGACGGTGGTATTAAAATTTATGTGGAACAGAACACACAGAGCAACAGTTAACCATATAAAATAGAGTTCAAGCACAGTTAAAAGTTCTACCGCAGGGCACAGTCCTTGCACCACTTTTTCCTTATTCTCATATCAGATATAGACATATACAAGTCACAGAGTCGTATCGACTTCTGCAGATGACAAAAATCAGCATGAAAATTAATTGATAATTGAAATTAATTAATTGAAGACATTGATAAACTACAAACAGATATTAATTAGGTTTTCGACTGGGTGGAAGAATGTTGTTAGAGAAAAATTTCAGGTACTCTGGTATGGTAAGAATGAGTACATTAAACAAAATACAGTGCACAAAACACAATCAAATCTGCCCGTAGTGGAAAAGCATAATGTATAGGATCTGGGAATAATAATGACTGACGACCTAACGTTAAGGAGCATAACAAAGCAATTTTAGCATCAGACAGAAAAATGATAGGATGGATTATGAGAAACGTCAAATCCAGGGATCCCATCACAATGGCTGTACTATTCACATCACTCCTCCTGTCCGTCTTTAGTACTGTTCAATACTCGCTTCACCCTTCAGAGCAGGAGAGATTGCTGAAATAGAGTGAATACAGAAAATATATACGGCATGGAAAACGATAAAGCACCTAATTTATTGGGATCATCTCAAAGAGCTCTAAATGATCTCCCTAGAAAGGAGATGAGTGAGGTATCAAATAATATACAAATGGAGGGCATGGTCCCAAATCTACACAGTAAAATAACAACATACTGGAGTTAGCGATATGAACGGAAAATTCAGTTCAGAACCATTGAAGAGTAGGCCCAAAGGCACAATCAGAGAACACTGTATAAACATCAGAGGTTCACAGTTGTTCAAACATACTCCCAGCGAGCATAAGAAATATTGCTGTAACAAATGTGGACATCTTCAAGAGAAAACTTGACAGTTTTCTTCAAGAAGTGAAGGACCAATCGGGCTGTGGTGGATATGTGGGCCGCTCCAAGCAACAGCCTGCTGGACCAAGCCGTCATGAGTCAAGCCTGGTCCTCCGGCCGGGCTTGGGGAGTTGAAGAACTTCCAGAACGCCATCCAAGTAAAACACTAAATTTGTAATATAAACAAAAGCTCTGATTATGTAAATACGCTCTAGTCAAATGTAGTCGTGTGTGATTGTCTGGCGAGTAATTATTCTTGGAATAATGGCACACACAATGGCCCTGTGTGCACTGCCTGGAGATTAGGGCAGATATTGACAGGCTAATGAAGCACGTGAAACCATAATGGAGGGCAAGGTGTCTCGGAGGGATCCAAAGGAAAAGCGCCATCGAGATAGCTGGCGAGTGGTGGACCAATTGAGTTAAGGCGGCAAAGGACGTCAAAGAAATCAAGAACACTAGTTAAAACGTAGAACCACTTCAGTTGAATGGGATAAGACCATGTGCGGTAACCTAGCAGAGAAGCTGAGCATCACAACAAAAGTCTGGACATGTGTTGGGGGCTTGGCACATGCGCTGGTTAGGCGAAACCTTTTCTATAAATGCAAGCGTTTGGGTATGTTCACTGCGGGCAAGACAAAGTTAATAGGAAATAATGTGACGCAATATGATCAAGCCCACTGTCTGCGTCTTGGTAAACAATATTCACCAAGCTAGAAGCAAAGAGGAATTTAAATATAGTTGCAATGACCAAGGTATTGTACGAGTAATGCAACTCCATTATTGAATAACTGGAAAGCTTTCATTAGCAAGAACACCATGTATGCTAGTTACACGATATACTTTCCATGGTAGGCGTGTGGCAGCTTTTGCAGAGTCAAGTGCGTAGACTGTTGTAGGCACCACAGTAATAGTGATATGGGTCTGGCCATTGGAAGCTGTGGCTGCTGTTGTAGCCGCTTCAACGTGAATTAGGTCGATGTACTGTTGCAATATACAACATAGAAAGAATGAGGTAGTGAATCAAGAACTACATCACTTATCAAATGGTGGAGGAAAATAAGTGGTAATACACACGAGTAGTCAGATTGTGGTCACACCGAGGTGTGGTCAAAGATTAAGACAGCCTTAGGTCACGTAAGCCAATGTTACAGCCAAAAGGTCACTAAGGTTGATCCAAAGTTCTTGGAAACAAATAGATAAACATTTAATGTAATTATAGCGTCCTTGGGATGCTGGGTGTGGTGGTGAAGGCTATGACCAGCTGGAGGGCAGTCTTGTGGAAGCTGCGGTTTCATCAAGTATTCCTCTTTATCTGCTTGTGGCAGTGGCAGACACCAGCCTAATGTGGGGACCCGATGTGATCTTGTTGACTCCAGTCGAGTCTTCAATGTGTGAGTATTGTACGAGATATTAACTGGGTGTGGAGTGTTGTAGTGACGATTCGGGGTTAGGAACTGAAGTCGAGGTTACGAGTTGTAGATGATAGGCAGGTTTGTCTAATGCGTTTATTGCCAAGGTTAGCCAATTTAATCAAGTCAAATATGTTGTATTGTTAATTATTGTCAGTATTTTATATAATTAAATTAGAAAACCCGATGGTCTTTAATTACTTTCAGTATGT